GTGTATGTTTTTGTATTGGAAATAAAAAAAATGTAACATTTTTTAGGAAAATGGGTGAATTGTCCTCATTGATACTTTATCTGAAATGAAAAAAAAACATCGTCACAAATATTGATTGAAATTGTTAGTAATGGAGTTAATGATCAGATATAAAAATGTTTTTGGGGATTTTTTTGGTTTCTGACACTATAGCATGATTGAAATTTCCCTGGGTAAAACTGACCCAGGAGCATTATTGCTGTTCCTCAGAAACAAACATAACAGGAGGGTTAAGACATTAGGGACTCAAATAGGCTTTATGTATACTCTTCAGTTTACAAATCTGTGGTGCACAAGTTGATAATGTGCTAGGGACGACATGGGCCAAGATTGACATACATAAAGGGGCTTGGACCCCAGTCATAACTGCTTCACAATTCTAATATTTATTTGGTTTTAATGAAAATAAAAACCGTCAGATAAAAAGCCAATGTTCAAAAGGTAAAAAAAAACAAGCTTTAAGTATAAATACTAAGAGACCATCATTTCATACCCACCCCACTCCCCACCCCCCAGGGGATCATTGAAATGGAAGATGATACCCACACATGACCCAGATTCCACCTCTGCCCTGAGTCACAGCTTAGAACTGAGCAAAAACAGTGCAGAATGCTCTCTCTCTCACACACACATCCACACACACACACACACACACTTCACCTTCCGTCCTTGTTATCATCACATTGTCTCGTCCACGACAGAAGCAAACAGCTGTGTAAGATGGAGATGATACAAGCTGTCAATCTTGTAAATATTCTCTCTTGTGCAGAGGTGATCCTGGCTTCAGACAGCGTCTGAGAGGAAATAGAACCATGTTGAAATGGAAAATAAGATATCAGGGCAGCTGTTTGCATCTCAGCAGCTGTACTGAGAGTCTGTAGGAGCAACTCTTCCTCTGGGCTCAGTTAGGGTTTGGATTAGCTTTGCTGCCGTGTGGGAGAGTGTCTGCTGAACATCGTTGTTTTTAGTTGTTGTTGTTTTTTTTACACATCTTCACTTACTGAGGAGTGAGAAAATTATCTCGTGGCAATGTCACCAGACGGGCTCTGTTCAATTGGATCTCTGACAAAGAAAAAAAAAACAGCTCTTAGTTGTCACCCATTGCCAAAAAGTTTTTGTTTGTCTTCTTGTTCCAACTGAATATTAATCAAAGATCTGTTCAGGCCTGAAGCAGAAATGAAGACACACCTGGCAGCTGGGCTTTCAGAAGCACACAGGGAAGACTCTGATCCATCTGTTTGGGTTTACTGACAGCTCTAAAAAATGCTGCTCATTCCATCGATGAGCGGACTTCCTGTTTTAGGTTGTTAGGTGTCACATCAGTTCAAAACAGGCTCAGCTGGCCGGCCCACCGTGGGACTGATGAGGGGCTTCTTGGCAGAGTGGGGTCTTTGTGTTTTTGTACATGTACACAACAATGTCTCTGATTTCACCTAAGAATGGGCAGCAGCAGAATAATTTGATTCTGACCAGGTGTAGGAGTAAATAGAGCAGAGTATATTTGGGTTTCCTCTCTGTGGAACCTGCAATTAGTTATAGAAGCTTGTTTCATCATTCTAGACCTAAAAAACACATTTTATCATCATGTCACATGAAAAAACATTGATTTCTGTGATTTAAGAATTTTATGAATTTCATTAGAACATTTTTTAAAGAGAATTAAAAGCCTATTSTTTCTTAAAGGAAATCATATCACCCACCACCATAATACAGATCTAGCCTTATTGATTAAAARTTAAAATATTTAGGACCAACTTAATGTGATATTGGATTATCTAGCAAGATCTCACATGTTTTGTAGTGCTCAAAGTATGTGTTGAAAATGACTGAATTACTACATCACCAAATTTAATTCAGTAACTTAAATTTACTGAGGTAGAGACATTTTGTGTTGGTAAACTTTAAATGGTAAATGGACTGTATTTATAGAGCACCTTTCTATCTAACCAGAATACTCAAAGCTCTTTACACTACTGTGTCCTCATTAGGGATGGGTACCTTTGGCATTTGAATCGATTCAGTACCAATACCCGGTACCTGGGAATCTGTACCGGTACTTAACAGTACCAATTTTCCGTACTTTAATAAACTTTTGTTTTAATTTAATATGTTTCCCAATATATAAAATTTAACAAATATCAAGACAACATCCAACTCATTGTATTGTAACATTAGTTT